AGAGAGAGAGAGAGAGAGAGAGAGAGAGAGAAGAGAGAGAGAGAGAGAGAAAACAACAGGTATCTTACCATTTGCTACAGCAGAGGAACTAATCTGTGCTCTGTAGCAGGAAAGAGTTGCTGTTTGGATCCACCAGCAGCATGGTAGTGGGGAGCTCACAGATGATTGCCATATGAACAGTACTTTTCAAAATGAGTTTTACTATCTAGGTAGTCTGCTTTTTCACACACACTGGCATGATCAATTTCTAAACAAAAACCAAGTTGACATTCTGATTGGAATTACATTAAATCTAGAGACTAACTTGGAGAGAATTTACATTTTAGCAGTGTCTTTCAGTCCACCAACATAGCACACCTGTGTGTTTATTCAGGTCTTCTTAGCAATATTCAGTAATTTCTAGCACTAGAATCCAGTGGGGTTTCATTTTAATGATTAAAAATATGAAGATGCTGTTGCCCACGTGTTTGGGGAATTGTCTCCCTGTGGGGGACTAAGCAGGTCCTCCTGGCTTCCTACAGTTCCAGTGACCAACCAGTTTGGTCCATTCAAGTTTACCGTGGGAAAACAGTTCATTAGGCTCACCGACAGAACAATGGATGAAGGTTAGAGGCAGGAACTGGAAATTCTGCACTCAACATGGATGGTGACTGCCCCATGGCTGCAGAGATGGAGCCCCTTCCCTACCCTTTCCCAGCCTGTATGCTCTAGCCCTTTCCAGAGACCTGAGGCCAAGTGCAATTACGGCGGAAGTGCATAAAAGTGATTGGGGTGTCAACAGTCAGCAAGCCCAGTGTGTGCACCACTGTGCTGCTCCAATGGAGAGCTGCACTTGATCATAATCAGTAACATGTGCAAATTTCACTCAGATTACAATTTTTCCTAAAGGTAGAGGTTGTGAATTAATTGATCAGGAGAGGGACACATATAACCAAATACTAATCATTGTTAGTCTTTGATAAAAAGATAAAACTGGAAATTTTTTTGTCTCATCTCTAATGGATACATACTGTCCCTTCCTAGTCAAGGGGATTTTTTTGTCCTAAGACTTTTTTGTGTGTTTTGTTGAGATGGGATTTCTCTGTGTAGTCCTGTCCATCCTGGGACTCACTTTGTAGAGCAGACTGGCCTCAAACTCAGAGATTTGCCTGCCTCTGCCTCCTGAGTGCTGGAATTAAAGGTGTGAAACCACAATGCCTGGCGATTTCTAAGACTTTTTAATTATTGTTTCCCCAGTGCATTTCTAAAACACTAAATAATCTTAGATTGCGAGCCTTGGAAAGTAAACCAACCAGGCCTAATTCAGAATTAAACTAACAAGGGCTGAGGAAATGGCTTAATTGGTAAAGCGCTTGCCATGTAAGCCTGAGGTCCCGAGTTCAATCCCCAGCACCCACCTCTGGTCTCAGTGATAGAGGCAGAGACAAAAACCCCTGAGGCCTGCTGGCCAGCTAGTCCTGTTGAATGGAAGAGACCAAGTTCAGGTTTCTCAGGTTGGGAAACTTGGAAGATGGTTCAGTGGGTCCAATGCTTGGTATGCAAACAGGAGGACATGGCTTCAGATCCTCAGCACCCACATAAAAGCCAAATGTGGGAGTGTAAACCTGTAACCCTAGCACTTGGGGATTGAAGAATGTGGACCATTCTCTGGCCAGCCAGTCTGGCTAATGTAGCAGTCTAGGCTTGGTAAGACAGCCTGTCTCAGAAAATAACACAGAGGATGCTGGAGAAAGAGACTGTGAGTTGACTTCTGTCTCACCTCCATACATGCCTGATCAGGAAAACAACAACACACACACACTATATATACATATATACACGCATATACATATACATATATATACACACATATACATGTACAATACATTTACACACACACATATATATATATATGTAATATATATATATTAGCAATTGAACAAACCTAATGTCAACTTCTGGCCTCCCCATGCATGTGCAAACATGAACACATACACAAAGAGAAAAACCACACTGAGGAAATATCAGGGATAATGGCTGCTCTGAATTTCTCACAGGGAAGTCAATGTTCACTTTCTGGCTTTACCCTCCCACCGTGTGTAAACATACTGTTTCTAGAGAATATTCTTAGAAGACTTTCTCTTTTATTTGATAATTTCACATTACTTCCTTTATTCTGTTTTTATCTGCATTTGAAGATGAACACCAGCCACACCACGCAAAAACTGGGAAATGTTTTATATTTGTATGCTTTAAAATAGCCATTTTCAAGAGACATGGTTTCTGATGCATATTAAATTATAGAAACAGCAGGCTCATTTATATAGGATATAAACACATTTTCTAAAATGTGTCCTAGGCAATCAAAATTATGGGCAAGCTTCATTCTCTTCATCCTGCAATTAGTAATTAATTCATTGTCTGCTTTCCTCCACCAGGAATGTTATTTAAGGGGGTGGGAAATGGCTCAGCAGGCAAAAGCCCTTGCTGACTTGAGTCAGATCCCCAGAATCCACAAAAAAGCTGGCCCAGCCACCATGGTATGTGTTCATAAAGCCCAGCATTCTTATGGGGACAGGCGACTTCCCCTGGACGCTCACTCACTCTGGATAGCTGCAGGGTCAGAGAAGAGAAACCGTGCTTCATCAATGTTTTTATCCCGTGCTGGATTCTGCATGCTACAATAATGAGCTACCAGGCAAGATCTAACAATAGCATTCTATGGGAGTAACCTTGGTCACTTCTTGGAGTGGGTAGTGATTAATGCGGAGATGTATTACTGTTTGCTGAGTATAAGCATCTGTGCATGCTCAGCCCTACATGGGACATTATCAGTCTCCAATCACACACACACAGGACTCAGAATATTGTGGAAAAGGGGGGTAGAAAGAATGCAAGATCCTAAGGATGAGGAAAAGTTCTGGAAATGCTGTCCCTCTGTCACACATGAACTCAAAGCAGCT